GACTTAGGACCTCTAAAAGCCAGGTGGAGTTTTAAGCCCATTGTGAGGTACTAGAAACACCACAATGTCTACAGAACCTGTGGGGGGTGTTTAGGTTTTTGTTGGACACTAGGCATGCAGGCTCCCATGTTTGGGTGCTGATGGCTTCATAAGGAGAGAGGGAGAGACCAGGGAACACATGTATGTCCTCTAGTCTCTTCCCAGGTGGTACTCCTCATTGCCTGAGAACTCTGCCACCGAGAAGGCCATCTCCTGCCTCCTGCTCCTGAGTGCTGAATTAGGTGTGCACCATCCCATCCACCTGAAACCAGCCTGTGGTGTCGTGTTCTTAGTAACAGGGAATGGATTAATAGAGATGGCTTTCTAAGAATTACTAGTAAAACCAACAAAAAGGAGAAGAAAAGGGGAGGGAGGGAGAGGTGTGGGGTGGGGTAAAGTTACTTTTCTGTTTGTTCCGTGTGCCCTGTGCTCACAGGTGGGGAGGCCAGAGGTCAGTCTTGGGTGCGGTTCTTCTGGTGCCATGCATCTTGCTTTTTGAGACAGGGTCGGATGCTGATCTGAAACTTGCAGAGCAGGCTACCCTGGCTGGCCAGGGGCCTGGGATTACCTCTCTCCCCCTCCCCAGCTCTGGGGTTACAAGTAAGCGCTACCATAAGCTTTCTTATGAGTTCCAGGGTCCTCATACTTTGCAGGTGCTCTCTCCTGGGCCCTGCAAAATCACTTTAAAGAGAGAAAATGATTTTCTTCTCAGAGTGAAATTTAACCCATTGCATTAACAAATTCACAAAATGAATGTACCCCTCAGAAGAGGTGAGTCAGTTTGCAAGGTCAGGAATGCTATCTCAATTGTGGAACTTCATGAAACAGGCCCAGTCTCCTCAGAAAGCAAGTTATGTGTTTAACTTCCCTTATTCTAACTCCTTGGCCACAAAGCAGCCTTCTGATTGGAATGGGGCTTCCCAAGCCACTTGTGTGCAGGGAGATTCCACATTAATGCAAATGTTCTAGTTCCTTCGCTAACTATAAACAAGCCTGTGACGTGAGGCTTGTGTGTTCACGGTGTTATGAGTTTGGTTAATGTGAACCTCGTCACAGACCAGATTCCATCTTGTTTGTTGACAAAAAGCGGGTGTCTGTCTGAACCTACAAGGCAATAAGCCAGGTTCTAATTAACTCACGTAATGCCGGCTTGCTCAGGCCCCTGGCAGGTGGCCAAAGACCTCCCCACCAACGCTGACCTGTCACAGGGACATACCATCAAATTAGTGTTTCCTAACACAGCAGAAGGGGTGGGGACTGGAGACTCTAGATGTATTCTGGAAGGTCCTGATAAGAACAATAACAGCAGGGAAGGACCATCAGATCCGTGGGTTAACTAAGGATGCAGAGTGTGCACCCCAGCTACTCAGGAGGCTGAGGCAGGAGTTTGCTGAGCCCAGAAATTTGTGGCCAGCTGGGATAACATAGCTTTAACAAGAAGAAAAAGGAAGAAGAGGAGGAATGTGGGGGGAGAGAGAGAGAGAGACAAAGAGGAAGAGAGAGGAAGGATCAGCAGCAGCATTCTCGTCTGGAAAGGCTGGGGATCGAGCCTCCTCAGCCTTTGTAAGGAAGGTGTTTGCTGAGACCTGACTTGGTGATAGAGTGGGATAGCCCACGTTTTAAGTGCACATGTGCAGGTGTGTCCATATGTGAACGCTAGAGGACAACCTGAGGAGCCATCCACCTTGAATTTCTGAGACAGGTTTCTCACTGGCTTTGAACTCGCCAAGCAGTCACTGAGTCCCAAGGACCACCTTTGCCTCTCCCTCCAGGGCTAGGATTTCCAGCCCACGCCACCACACCCTCCTTAAGAAAAAACAAAACCAAACAAAAACCACAACTGGAGCCTGGAGATGGAACTCAAGTTCCGATGCTCGCAAGGAAGTACTCTCCCCACTGAACAAACTCCCCAGGCCCGTTTTAAATATTTGAGACTCACTGTGCTGCCCGGGCTGGCCACAAACTCCTGAGCTGGTCTCCCAGACCTCAGCTTCCTGAGGAGCAGAGAGAACAGGTGTGCACAACCACACCCAGCTAAAACCTGACGTTTTTAAATAGAGAGCGTTTCATCTGGATGTCTTCTCACCCCACCCCACCCCACCAACCCCCCCCCCAAAAAAAACCATCTATCGAGTTTCCAATGCAACATCTTTCAAAATGAGATTTCCCCCAAAATTCCAAGGAACATATTAAAAATATGAGTTCCTAGGATGCCAGAACTTCCAGATTAGAACCTCTGGGGTCAGGATGCAGGAATCTGCACTTTCTGTTAGCTCCAGGTACCCTTCTGTCCCCTCAGCTTGAGAGACTCAGCAACCCAAGTAAAGGGTGAAGGAAAGGCAGAGAAAGTTCTCGGCCTGTAGGGACGGCCCCGGCCGAAGCGCAGATCCTCCAGACAGGCCCCTGGGGCTGGCAGAGCTGCAGCAGAGAGACGGACTTACCTGAGGGCGGGCGGCTCTACCTCCGAATCTGTCTGAAGTTATGTTGTCCTGACAGCAGCACTCTGTACTCGTTCACAGAACCAGAAAGGTGAATAAAAAGAGCACCCGGGTCTCATTCTCCCCGATGCTCTGGATTCTTCCCTCCCTCACAGCAGTCAAGCTGCCCTAACCTTTTCTTGGAGTAGAAAGCGGTCTAGGGATATGACCATTTCCCCAAATAATACTGAAATTCATTCCTAAACAAGTCCATAGAAAAACAACGAACAAGCCAGGTATGGTGACGCATGCCACTCGGGAGGCAGAGGCAGGTGGATTTCTTGAATGTGAGGTCAGCCTGGTCTACAGAGCAAGATCCAGGACAACCAGGGCTACATAAGAGAGAAACCCTGTCTCAAAAAACCAAAACTAAAACCAAAAAAAAAGAAAAACAAAGTGTTCAAGCTAAGCTAAACATAAAAAGAAAAGACTGGAACAAGGTTGTGAGGTTGAGGTTCAACCACATATGTAAGTTGATCAACAAAGTCACACTTTGGGGCTGTGGTTTATTTGCCTAGCACATGCGACACCCTGGGTTTGATCCCAGTATAGAAAGGGGGGGGAGATAAAAACGTTTATTTCCTTCATGTTTTCTCACATGGAAAAAAAAGGAATATCATATTCATGGTGTTGTTTGGTAAGTGAAATAGGACTAGAAAAATACAAGGCTGGACAGATATCCCAATGAGTAAGAGTGGCTTTCTGTGCACACACGAGGATCTGAATTCCCATCTCAGCACCATCTGAAAATCCAGATGTGGTCACTCAGATTCCTGTAAACCCAGTGCTGGGGGGGTGGAGACAGGAGGATCCATGGGGGTTGCTGACCGCCTTCAGGTTCAGTGAGAGACCCTGTCTCAAAGGAATAAAATGGAGGGTGATCAAACACAATACAGACATCTTCCTCTGACTTTATATCTGCACACACGTGTGTATACACCGTCACATACACACAAATTAATTAACATGAAAACTATAACAGTAAAAATCTGACAGGACAGGGATCAAAATTAGCATTTTTCCATACCCTCTGACTCTGTAGTTGTGCTTTCGGAATTCACCCTAACAAAGCCACAATACTGGCATTTTTTCCCATGGAGAAAATCAGAGATGTATCATACAGAACACATCACTCCAAATGCTCAAGACTCCTCCTCTAACAGAAACCACCCTGGCCACACAGTCTCTTGCTGAATGAAGAATGGCATTGAAACGATCAGGAAAAGGGTCCTGAACCATAGGCTGACCAGCCTGGACTTTACCTGACCCAGAAAGCCTAGCTGAATGGTTGGTACTGGTTTGGTCAGCCAACCAGACTTTCTCTTCATGACCTTATCAAGTCAGTTGGTCAACTGGAGTTGATCTCTCTCTCCTTTCTTTCTCTACTCGTGTATATGTTCATATGAGTCTGTATTCTTGTGGGTAAAAATTGTAAGCGTATGCATGTGGAGGCCAGAGGCTGACTTCAGCATCATTCTTCAAGAGCTATCCACCAGCTCTCCCTGGACCCTGGCTACCGTACTAGACAGGGCTGGCTACCCAGGGAGCCCAAAGGACCCACCTGTATAGTCTCCTGTGGTGAGATTACAAGTCCTGACATTTTTATATGGGTGCTGCGGCTTGACCTCAGACCCCATGTTAGTTTAAGAACGCCGTACCCACGGAGGCATCTCCCTAGCCTGAAGTACACCTTTTTAATAAATAACATATGTTTACTAATACACAAGTAAAATACTTACCCAGGCAGTAAAATAGTTACTTGTAAATGTGCTAATATATGTATAAAGCTTTCTGAGGAAGGTACTAGCAGCCCTGTGGTTCTGCCCATCAGCCCCTCCATATCTTATTAGCAGTGGTGGGTGCTCAGCATATGCTTTTGATGGATAGCATGGGAAATATGTGTGGGACAATGAAATCTACTCATGAAGTCCACTGTCCTGGATTTTTACATTCACTCAAATTGCCTTCTGTAGGAAATCAATGTTGGTTCTGTACTCAAATCAGAAGCTCAATTTCTAATGAATAGATTTCTTTACATAGGTAATATAGATTTTTAAGAAACCACATGGGCTCATTAAAAGTTAATAAAAATGTGAAATTAATACCCTGAATTTCCCTCAGCCACTTTGTTGATTTTGAAACAAATCAGTCTGTCAAATAAAGCTCTATATAATGTTTACCTCCTGTGCTTTGGTCTCCCTCTCTTGGAGGGACAAGGGACAGAGATTCGGTATTCAATATTTAAATATCTAACATGTTCAAAAATAGATAGAATAAACACTACCTAATTTTAAGAACGTGGAGAACTTGCTAATAGGTGTTAATATTTACTCAGCTGTAAGCAGTTGTCTGTACTGAGGCACACTCCTAGGGCCATCCATGAAATATACACAGTAGACATCACACCCAGCCAAAGTAAATAAAAAAGGAGTGTCCAGTTCCCTACAGGCCTCTGTGACCTCACCAGCAGTGCCACGCCTGTTCAGTGTCCCTTGAGAGCTCTCCCTGACCTGAAGCTCCTCTGCTGTCCCCTCTCCAAGTTCACCTTCTGCTCCCCGAAAATACCAACTACCAGAAACGGGACCGCCAATGGTCAGGTGTGTCAAACTTCTGCCCTTCAGGATTGGCGTGCGTGCGTGCGTGCGTGCGTGCGTGCGTGCGTGCATGCATGCATGCATGCATGCATGACCCACTGGATGAAGCATGCAGAATGGGGGTGGGATCAAAATCACTATCAAATATTTTCCTCAATCACTTCTCCAAGATTTGTTTTTTGTTTTTCAGACAGGGTCTCACTATGTAGCCCTTGCTGGTAGAACTCTCTCTCTGTAGACCAGGCTAGCTTCCAATGCATGGAGATCCTCTTGCCTCTACCTCCTTGTAGAGTAAAATATCCAAGTCTACTTCCAGGTTTGAAATCTACCAAAACCCACCAATCCCTGAGCACAAAATCCCACCAGTCCCCAGATTTGACTTGAAACCTTGCCAATCCCTACCTTGGAAAACTCGTCCCCACAAGAAACCCATATAAGCCCACCTCCTGCTCAGTTTTCTGCTGCTTCTCCCCAGCAGGGGCAGCCACCCTGCTGGGTCTCTCCCAATAAATCTCTTGTGTGAGGTTTGGTGTGCAGTGTGACTTTGTGGTATTCCTTGGTTCTGGTTCCCTCAGAGCTGCAACACTTACACTTCTGAGTGCTGGGATTAAAGATGTGTGCCCGATGCGGGTTCCACCTTACTTTTCCTCTCTCTCTCTCTCTCTCTCTCTCTCTCTCTCTCTCTCTCTCTCTCTCTCTCTCTCTTTTTTTTCAAGACAGGGTTTCTCTGTGTAGCCCTGGCTGTCCTGGAACTGGATTTGTAGACCAGGTTGGTCTTGAACTCACAGAGTTCTACCTGCGTCTGCCTCCAGTGCTGGAATTAAAGGCGTGGGCACCGAGCTCAGCCTTACTCTTGAAGCAGTTTCTCACTGAACCTTGAGCTCACTGATCAGTTTGATTGACTGGCCAGCAAGTCCCAGGAATCCTGTTTCTGTCTCCCCAGGTCGGACTTGCAGGCAACTCACCTTGGTGCCCAGCTTTTTTTTACATGTGTTCCAGGGATCTGATTTTGGGGCCTCCCACTGTTGTGGCAAGAACTTTACCCACTGAACCATCTCCCTAGCCCTTCCTTGCTTTTGAAATCTTAGCAAGCACATTTGTGGGGAATGGTATTTGATTCATCAAGGATGTCCTGAAGAAAGGCCAGCCACTCCTCCAGACATGCTAGTTTCCTGGCTGGAGTCTTTTCCCAGACCATCCAAGAGGTTCATACATAAAACAGAGAAAGCTCCTGCCTGAAGAGGATGCTGTCTAAGGAAAAGCTGCGTGTAATCTGTTGGTATTCCCTGCATGAGGGCTTTGTGGGAACTTTTTTTGGGGGGGTCGGTTGTTTCTGTCCCACTGGTACTCAGAGGATCGCGATTGAGCCTTTTCCTCCAGAGTTCCTTAGCTGTGTAGCCCTGTCACACACTATCTTCCAGCAGGTTACATGTTGATTCTACCCAGGGACGGTTGTAGTTCCGACAAATAAATTTTCCATTGCTCATTTCATCCACAAAGAGTAGAGAAGGCGAGGTATGGGGGAGGGAAATCCAAGGCAGAAGAAAGGAAGGCTGGAGATGCTGGTGAATGTGGGATCTGCGTCCCTCTTGCATGGAAATGTCAGGACAGTGTCCACCTTGGAAACATTAAGATGGTTTTCAGGGGTGGGGGTGGGTATCTCCAGAATGTCAAAGGAAGATTGTATCGTAAGGGTCTCAGAAACAAACAAACAAAACAACGTATTACTTACTATTTCCGTTCATGCTCTCCATATGATGTAATGAGATAATCCGGTCAAAGTACTTCAGGGTGGGGGATCATAAAGGGACTTGTAACTGGAACCGGAAAGTCTGCAGGCTCTCAGTGGCCTATCACAACCTGCTTTTCTTTATTTATATGTGGTACTAGATCTGAATTCTGTGTCCCTACATTTAAACCGTCAAAGAGACTGATTGGATCCGACTGTAACTCGCTATACCAGACCATTGCTATGTCAGGGATTACTAAACGCTGGGTCACCTCTTTCCAACCTATTGGAAGGACAGGGTGTGGGCATGGAAAGCTCTTCAGTTCAGAGCTGAAGATGTGGTTCAGCGGCTCAGCATTTGCTTAACTTGTGCAAAGCCCTGGTTTTGAACCCTAGCATGGCAAGGAGTTTCTCTGGAGGGAATACACCGGACACATCCAGTTACTGTGAAGGAATTAGACAGAGGAAGGAATTCCTCACTCTAAACCTTCAGGCTGCCTAGCAGGGCCAGAGTCAGTTCTCAGCTCCACCGAGTCTCAGCCCGACCCCTTTGAGCATGAGACCCTGTGTGGAATGGGGAAATGTGTATAAGCGTTTTAGGTTATTTGGTGTGATTCTTCAGGCTTCTATGTTATAAAAATCTGCCAGAGCAAATTCTCCAAAACCATGTCCTCTGTGGAGCTTGGTCTGGTTCCTTTAGATGGAAATCTCAATCCGATATTTGGTCTTGATGATACAAAATTTGATACAGTCGGTCTCCTGCAAATCCAACACATGAGCAGTAATTTCTATCTGGTAAAACCACAAAAATCTGAAAACCCTAATTTGTTTGCCGTGGCTTCGACCCACTTTCTGCTATTTCTCTAGGATTTTTGGGAGACTCTCAGGATTTCTTTCTGGCTTTTTGTTTTGTTTTTGCTTGTTTGTTTGTTGTTGTTTTCATTCATGTGACAGGCAGAGGACAACTTGCTGGACAAGTTCTCTCCTTCCAGCGTGTCGATTTGAGGGATCAAATTCGGGTCATCAGGCTTGGCAGCGGGCACCTTTACCGGAGAGCTGTCTTACAGGACCAGAATTGTCTTCAATGAAGTGAACACCACTCACGGGTGTGTGAGCAGGTTCCTGCCTCTTCCTCCCACTCTAGTCCTTACCCTTCGCTCCCATTCAGAAGCCAGGCAGGCCTCTGTGACCCAGAAATCTAGATCTGCTGCCCTTTGCCTGGGTCTAAGAGATGCCCTTTGGAGCCAATCGATGTGGCCCGAGGCCAACCGTCCCGACTGGGAAGCCCTGCTCTCCCCCCCAGGAGAGACTTCCTGTGCTGGCCGACAGCCTTAGTGTACAGATTCTTATCACTAAAACCAACACAGTCAGGCTCCCAAGGGACAGCTTCTTTCCTGGTAGAGTGTTTCCTGCCCATTCTTACTTTGTCGCCTTGATAAGTGTGCTAATTTTTTTATTCCACCTTGACTAGGCAGTGGAGTTTTGTAGTGACTATCAAAGAGATGAATGTGCTCAACAGCTGTTCTTCCAAGAAAAATATGGATTTAATTCAAGTATAACTTTATGTGTAAGCAGGGATCATGAATTTGGGCAGAAGACATAGCCTGGGGCTGTGCTGTCTCCAGCCTGTTTCTGTCCCTTTCTCTTTCCTCCTCCTCCTCCTCTTGTCTCCATCCCTCCCCACCCCACCCCTCCTTCCACTTCCCTCTTCCTCCATTAAACCTGACTGCTTTCACGTAGAGGTTTCTCTTTGATTTGCCCTGTCACCGGCCCAGGCAGGCATTTTCATACCCAGCAATTAGTACCAACCGCAAGAGCCAGCTACCCTGGATCTTCTTGGCTCTTCAGACCTAGGCTGAGCCTCAGGCCAACAGAACAAATTGTCTGACAGGACGGAGAGGCCTGGACCCCGCGACAGCTTTCCAGTTCACCCTGGGGGTAACACTCGGTGGAACCAGAGTGCCAGGCCACACTAGCTTCTCTGTGCGCTGTAGCTGGAAAACAAGAGGTCTCCATAAACTCGTGTGAAGTGCCCATGCTACTTTCAGTGGTTAACAAGGATTCAGTAATATTTTAACATTTCTTATTAGGGTTCGGTTTCCTAACTATCTCTTGAAGACTTACGTGTTTGTCTGCTTTGTTTGTTTGAATCACACTGCCCATGCCCAGGTTTCTTGGGGCTCTTAATCTACCTGCCTTCTTGTCCTTCCCTTTCATTTACTGAAGGGGCCATGGTCCTGTAGAAGTTCCTACAGTCTGGATAGTTCTGCAGGCTGCATCTTTGTGGTGTCAGGTACCGTGCCCTGGCCCCCTCTGATTTCCAGGCTAGTGATATAAATATAGAGACTTTCCCTCGTGGATCCAGCCCAGCTGGCCAAGTGCTTGCCTGATGTTCATGAGCTCTGGGTTCTGCTCTCAGGACTGCAGATACTGGTGGGACAGGCTGATCCCAGCAAGCAGAAGCTGGAGGAAGTAGGATCAGAAATGCAAAGTCATGCTCAGCTCCACGGAGATTTCGGTGCCAGCCTGGCATGTGTAAGACCCTGTTTCCAGAAAAGATTAGGGACCTTGTCGGGCTCCGTGCACTGTGAGGAGCAGGAATATCTAACTTCAGTGGTTTTCTTTGCCTGTGGGTTACAAACGACACACAGTGACTGCTGCCTCTCCATTTTGTACCACTAAGAATGATCAACGTGCTCAGGTGTGGTCAGCCTGAGTCCACTATAAAATTCCCGGTTAGAGCCCAGCAGTGGTGGTGCTCGCCTTTAATCTCAGCACTCCAGAGGCAGAGGCAGGCGGATCTCTATGAGTTCGAGGCCAGCCTGGTCTACCCTGTGAGTTCCCGGACAGCAGGGGCTACACAGAGAAACCCTGTCTCAAAAAAACAAAACATAAACAACAACAACAATCCCACATCAGTTTTCAACAGCAGATTCAATAGTCACTGATGAGCATAACCTGGACCCAGGATTTCCCGAGTGGCCACATCATTTGTTCCTTCTTCACTGCTTACCTAGAATTAATTTTTTTAAAACGTGCTTCCTTATCATTTACTGGTTGCCATAAAAATAATTGTTGTTCTTATTTCAGGAAAGGCAGACTGCTTGGCTCTTTCCTTTTGTTTATGGGTTTTCAAAGTCTCCAAGCCTCCAAGAATGACCAAAGAATTTTTTAATTTGGGTTTTTGTTGTAGTTGATGTGGAGTTTTGTTTTATTTTTATTGTGTGTGCTTGCGTGTGAGAAACAAGGCACCTGTACGGGCCAGACAACATCTTGGTGGGGGTAAGTGCTGCTCTTCTACCATTTGGGTGCTGGGGCTCAAGTTCAGATCATCAGCCTTCACCTCTACCTGCTAAACTACCTCAGAGACTCCATTTTAGTGCCCCCAGCCCGTGGGACGATGGCCACATTCTGGGTGGCCTTTCCTCCTCAACTAAACTTCTCTGGAAACAATCTCATCCATGTGCAGAGGTCTGTCTTCCGTGTGACTGGAAGTCCTGTCAGGTTAACGGTCAATACTAACCATCACATGTGCCCTCAAGGCCTAGCGCCTCCCAAAATGTCTCATGAGAAGGCTTTGCTGTGATTGGCTGTGTTTGGTCCTTGCCAGTACGCCTGGCTGCTCGGGAGGGCGAGGCAAGGGATCCCGAGCTCTAGGCCAGTCTGCCTGGTTTATAATGAGACCCTGTTCACAGAGGGAAGGGGGACTGGGAAGAGGGAGGGAAGATGAGGAAGGGAGGGACAGACAGACAGAGGAAGGGAAGAAGTAGGACGGGAGCGATGTCACCCTGGGACCCCACTGGACTCCTGTCTTTCTTAGATCTGTGCATGCTGTCCTCCTTGGGCTGCAGTGACCTCCTCCTCAACACCTCCTCCATCCTGCAACCCCTCACCATCTCCACTTCCGAGAGACTTGGAACAAACCTCCGAGCTCTCGCTGAAATTTCAGAGACCCAAGAAGGCACCAAGAGTGGCGTGAGCCCGCCCTCGTCCTTGTCCCAAACGGCACCTTCCCGGATCTCTGCAGTGCGGCATTCACAAAGAGCCTCCCCGTTCATTCCCTGGAGCAGCTTGCCTGGGGGGCACTGCAGAGGACCCTGGGGGCTCCAGGGCGTCCTTCTTACCTTGTTAGCATCTGTAGCGCTGGCTTCTGCTGCGCTTGCTGGTCTGTATGCTGTTAGTTACCTGTATCTGCTAACATTTCTTTGTTGAGGGCATGCGTGCACACAAATGGTCGTCAGAGGATAACTTCAGGAGTCAGCTCTCTCCCTTCACCGTGTGGTACCGGAGATGGAACTCAGCTTGTCAGGCTTGGCAGCAAGGCCTTAACCCCTAGAACCATCTCATCAGTCTGTAACAGTTTTTGTTATAACTGCTTCTCTCCAATCACCAAATTCTTCTCCCCAACAGAGCGTGACAAATCGGGCCTTGACCTCATCAAAAGTTATTTCCAAGGTGGCAATCTCCAGAGTGGTCTGTGTACAGCCCAGGGGTGTACACAAGAATCCTGGGGTGGTCTGTGCACAGCGCAGGGGTGTACATAAAGGTCCTGGGGTGGTCTGTGTACAGCCCAAGGGTGTGCATAAAGATCCTGGAGCAAGTAGAGGGAGATAAGGCCTTGTCATATATTTTCTCTCATTCTTCCTTGTTTTCAATCACGGGTTTTCCGGGCGGTAGTGGCTTGTGCCTTTAATCCCAGCACTTGGGAGGCAGAGCTGGGCGGATCTCTGAGAGTTCGAGGCCAGACTGGTCTATAGAGTGAGCTCCAAGATAGGCTCCAAAGCTACACAGAGAAACCCTGTCTCGAAAAAACAAACAAACAAAAACAAAACAAAAATCAGTCACAGGTTTTCTAATGCACATAAAATATATTTACAAACATACAATTATAAATTTGGTATGGCATTTTCAGACTTTTAAAAGTAATGGTCAGAGGTATTTGGAGGCAATACTGGTCAGCAAAAGCATGGGCTATCCATGCGAACTTCTGTGACTTTAAACCTGTAAACGCACGTGTGTGTGTGTGTGTGTGTGTGTGTGTGTGTGTGTGTGTGTGTCTGTGCACACTAAGCAAGCGCTTTACCAAGTGAGCTCCAGCTCCAGCCGGCAGTTCTGAGATTTAAACTACACGAAGAGCACACTTAGAAGTATGTATTAAATGCCGTGTGTTTACTCTTGTTTCCGTGCGTGTGTGCTTTCGTGTTCCTGCGCATGTGTGATGCACATTGAGGCTGGAAGGTAACCTCAGATGTCATCCCCAGGGAAACGTCCATCTCCGGCTTGGAGATAGGATCTCTCCCTGTCTTGGAGCTTACCTATGAGGCTAAACTGGCTGGCTAGCCCCGGGGATCTGCCTGTCTGTCTCCCCAGTGCTGGGTGTACGGATGGAGGTGACAATGTCCTGGGGACTGAACTCGGCTCTTGAGCTTGCATGGACGCCCTTTGCTGAAGAAGCGACCCTCCGCCCTCTTCTATTTGCCTATAGCAACTATGCCTTGATTTCCCGTGAAACATCGGACCAACACGGCCAGCAAACACGGCCAGCACTTTCTTTCTTTGCCAACAGAAAACCCCAGAATTGATGAACTTGAAATATGAACCCTGTGTCTTAAACGTGTTCTTATTGGCTAGACACTTCCCTTAGTGCAGAGTCTGCTGAACAACATTCTCGTCCCTCTTCTAGAAGCTACTGGCTCACTCCCACCGCGCTGTTCCCTGCCAAGTGCACCTTTAAAGAAAGGGCCAAAGGAGTCTGTGCAGTCAGATGGATACCAGAGAGCTTGCCTGTCCTCCGGGAAGAACAAAAAATGAAGGTTATCCCTGCCGTCCTTAGCCTTCTCACACCCCCCACCTGTGTCCTGTCTGGTTTCCCAGCATGCCTCTCTACTCGGGCTTCTCTGCATGAAGTCTATCTGTAGTCGATTAATTACACTCTGCATTGATTTCGCACTTCTAAGAGAGTCATATCCTTGAGACCTCTAATATGAATTAGTAGAATGTTTCCCCCTTGCAAATGTGATGCCTGGAATGATCCTGGTCCTCGCAGGCATCTCCACTCAGGCAATATCCCCCACACACCTTCCTAACTTTCCCCCAAAGACCCCACAGCAAGAAAAGAGAACGGAGCTCAGGTCATGTTTCTTTAACAGGGCACCGTTTATGCACCCTGGCTGTCTTGCTTGTAGATTTTCATTTTTGCATCCTGCTAAGTGCCTTGAAGCAGTGTTGTTCCTCTTAATTAGTTCATGTTTCTAAGGCACCACTCCGGTCACAGTGGCTGTGTCAGGGCTAAGTGTGAACAAGCGGGAATCCTCACTCTGTCCATGTCCTTTATCCGCACAGATACAACACACATCGTGAGAGATTGGGATTTGGAGGAGGCTTCAGCGTTCCCCCACTGGGCTGCTGACCCACGCGTCCGGGAGGATGGAGAGTGGAGTTAATGTGGTTTTCTAAGCCAGGTGAGGCGGGGAGTGAGACAGGAGCATCATCCCCTTGGTGCTGCTTCTGTGGCTGGTCCTGCCCTTCCTGAGACACAGCAAATAACCTCTAGCTGATCTTCCTGTTGTGGTTTCTGTTTCTGGATGATGTGTGGATGGTGAGTACAGTGTAGCTTCATTCCCAGTGTGTCTGAGAAGGAAAAAAAGATTCATTTTAAATTATAGCATGTTCCATTAGATGTTGAATAATGCTTTCCCAAGAAACATTTTAAACACCGGTTTCATTTCCTTCTGCTGGCGTGCTCACAAGACTGGGTTTATTAAATTTCCAGTGTGTGAAGAATTGTGTTACACACCCTTATTAAGACATCTGATTTCATAACTGCCTTTACAAACATACACATTAAGCTTGGCTTTTTTTTTAAGAAGGCCTTTTAATCTTTCTTATTTTCATGATTTTAATAAAATTTCTAAACTAGGTTGACATTTAAAAAAAATAAGAAAACTGATTGGAATGAAGGAGAGAACATGAAGATTTTTAATTTATTTACCAATGAGGATTTGTAAAAAATGTGAGTAATAATTATTTAAAAAATAAAAATATATTAAATTTAAGCCAAAAAGCCATTTGATGTTTCCTGTCAAATTCCCAAAATGGCTGTTGCCGCCAAATAATTGACAGTGATGTCAATGTTATTCTGATTGCTCCATATTCTCATTCTAAGGCCAGAGCAAATTACTTTCTCTTCTAACTGCTTCTCACTGGAAGAAAATCCTCATTTTACGTTGATACTCAGGACTCCTGAGTGTTCCAGCAGGTTCCTCAGCCAATGTAAATTTACATAATTCATCTTCCACTTGCTCTCCTATAATTAGTGTAGCTGTCGCCAGGGAGCCACGGGCTTGTGGGCAGGTAGCTATGGGTACAGCAGGCAGGCTTCAGTCAGACGCCGCCTCTTAAACCATCCTGTCTGTTGTTCCTCGCATTACACATGCATGAGTCAGGTCCTGTGAAGGGGAATTTTTTTTCTCTTTTTTAACAGCTTTCCCTTTGCAAATTTTGACTCTCCTTACCAACTTACAATTTCTTCTCCAGGTCCCGTTTTCCAGATGACGTAAATAAGGCCCTGAAGAATTTCTCCATCAGGTCAACGTTTAGGATGTAAATATGACATGTCTCCTTACAGCTTTCATGTGTGCCGGGCGTGATGATCCACGCCTTTAATCCCAGCACTCGGGAGGCAGAGGCAGGCGGATCTCTGTGAGTTCGAGGCCAGCCTGGTCTACAGAGCGAGTTCCAGGACACCTGGGGCTACACAGAGAAACCCTGTCTTAAAAAAAAAAAAAAAAAACAAAACCGGTGGTCACATATAGTCCAGACCTGTCTCTCCCCTGAGGATGACTTTCAACTCCTCACCCTCCTACCTCCACCCCCTAAATGCTGGGATTACAGGTGTGTGCCACCACATCTAGCCTTTCTCTTTCTTGACAAATGTTATATTGGAAAAATAAATACATGCTTCACAGAAAAGCTGCTTGGTGCAAAAGCCTAAAA